TGTTCTGTTAGGCTCAACTCACTCTGGCGCAGAGTCGAAGCGTCGCGTCGCGTCCTGTCTTTCAACTCCACCACCAGGCGACGCGCGTCGACGCGCGACGACGCTCGATTCCATATTTGCAAAACACAAATTTGTACCTTAATAATTGGAAAATATAGATGAATATGCTATAGGCGAAAAACATGACGCGTCGCGACGCTTCGACTCTGCGCTTGTGTAAGTTAAGCCTTAATAAATAGACAGTTTTCTTCAACTGTACGACAGAATTAGTGGGAATAATGGAAACTGGTAGTCCATAAATCGTAGAATTTTTCTTGTTTCATTAACTCGTGACTACAATGTGTATTATCACAACAATGCAGCTGATAATGGGACACAGTTCCGAATTTAAATTGATAAAGGTATCCATATAAAAGGTATTCCTTTGTCTCGTTTCAACATTATTATTACAATAATGGAAATAACCAATCTAGCTAGCAACCAAGTATGCGTTAATAAGGGAAGAAAATTAATTATCCCATCGCAGTTACGGGTTAAAGCAAAATAAGCTAGCATCTATTCTCTTTGTTTCGATAGAGATAAGGCGCTCGCTTAAATCGCGAATTGCATAGCGCTATTCCCATATCCGGCTGCGTCACGCCCTCCACCGAGGTTTATGTTCCCAACACGAAAACTGGGAACCGAGATTATCTCTATGAAGGACACTCTAGATTATCTTCTAATGTAACGAATTATTCCCTAGGACGTGCTCGTCTTATTTCAAATGACAGACGGTTGCTCAGTAGTGAGCGGTTTTCTTTGTTAGTGGCACAACATAAGCACTTTCATTGTCTATATAAACTATTTTAGTACCACTGAGTCAACAGCGCGATATACCGAAAAATGTCCAGGCCTGTCTCCCATTACATTTAGGAATTTTTGTAATGAAGATAATAAGTTCTGAATTGTTCCCTTATACTCTGCACATTTATCTGAAAACTTACCATTATCATTTAAATCTCATACCTCATAAAAGTTATTCAGGCTATCTGCAAATTCTCAAGTAAGCTGCCAAAAGCCGTTCCGTATTCACTGCGAGGACGTAACGACTCCGGAACGACAGGAAGACAGGTGCTCGGTGATCTACGATTGGTACATGCTCTTTGTTCTGTATTCTTGAATGTTTTTAATTCAATTTTTAGAATGTTTTCAAAAATCATACACGACCTGTTCCTAAATGCAATGGTTTTATGAATTGAATATATTGCCTATAATTTTGTTCGTGTCGTTACCTGGTCTTTTCTTTTCATTTCTTTCGTACTAAATCAAAACTTGCCCACATGCCGCGTACATATAGACTTTTGGTATCTTTTGCACGCCACTTTTTTTAATTTCATTTGGAAGTTTCGTCTCAACCTGTATTCTTTTAAATGAAGTTTTGGTTGCTTGACAACAGCGTCGCAAAGGTAAGTGCGATTTCTATGTACACAAACAAAGTAATAGGTTGTATTTTGTAAGTTTTACAGTTTATTGTATGAAATTTGTGTTCAATTTTATACATAATGAAACACCTATAAGTTACTTCTTCCGGTTCCGTAAACGGCTACTGGTAAACGTAAATGCTGATTACTTGGTGGCATAAAGTACTACTACTCAATTAAAAAACGTTTTATATTGTTACTTAACACAGTGTCTCAAGTAAAACACATTTTTCACATCATGTATGTATGTACCTATACAAAACCGATAAAAAAAATTGTTTTGCTTTTTAAAAAGCCATTCATTTCTACGGCCGCCTTCTACTCGGTATCATCGAAAGTACCGTATACTTTTTCCAACTCTGAAAAAAGGAAAATAATTACCGAGAACCAGTAGGCCTAGCACACAGGGCACGACTTGCGCGAGAGCGACATACCGCAGGGCTTTGTTATTTCAATTGCTACGACTTTTATTTTTGCACAGTAAGCATTAATTTACATTATTTACGAACTGATAACAATAGATTCCAGTAAATCAGGCTAATTTGGTTGCCACGACGTTTACGTGGATTTGGTTTGGTTACTAACTTACCGAAATGACAACTTCATAACGTATGCTAGTTACGTGTAATTGCAATATCCCCAACGATACAGCGCGAGATACTAATATTCTCGTATAGAGAATTGCAATATCTCGCGCTTCCATGTCGCTCTCGCGCAAATCATGCGCTGTTGTCCTATCTATAATCTATCCGTATTGGTCTAAATGCGACTAGTAGGTCTTCTGCGCGACTGCATCACGTCCGTGATCCAATAAATTGGTGAAGTATTGACTATTGTTTATATAGATAGATAATATGCATAACAAATATTTTCTGAACTTTTTTAGTTACTAGCTTTATTGGTCGTACGATCAAAACCGGAAACATTCCCAATTGCGAATATTTCCGGTTTTGAATCAGTTTAGTTCGTCGACAAATTAAAATACTTTTATAAACAAAATTAGTTATCGTTGTCAATTTAATGTCAACAATAATAAGAATAAAATATGCCAACGGATTTATATTACCACAAATCGCATAGTCATTTTTTTTCATCGAAAGAAAAAGTTAGGTGCACCACAGTCCACCGTCAAGTTTGAATTTCAAAAACCATTTCCATGCTAGCGTGGAAAAGAACGCTTTTGCGCGCTTATTTCTAATGAGAAAGAAAGCCTTCCGAGCTAGAGGGGTGAAAAATAAGTTTTTTATCTCGTACATAAAGAAAAACATTTTTACACATGTATTTACGTAAAAAAACACTTACATTCTAAAAAATCACACACAAAATTTTCACTTACGTGTTGACGTCGTATTTTACTGAAAAGTAAGAAAATAAATAGGCCTACAAGTAACATGCAACATAAAAATCTATCGAATTGGAATCATAACCAAGTAGTACATATTCAGTGGCAACGGTCCAGTGCAAAAGACACAAACATCTGGCGTCCGATATCTGTGGAATACTGTGCCAGGAAAGTGTTAATTCCATTGACAAAACTCAAGTATGCAACTAGCGATTACACATATTGGATTCATGTCATGATACAATTATACAGGGTGTGTAATCTTTAAGTACGTACAGGCGATTATTCCGTAAATATGAGAGATTAAAGTGTGCCTCTACCACGAGTTTATTGTAACAGTTGTCGCTAGAGACTAGACTAGCTAAAGACTGCGTAAATTACTTCGCAATTTTGTATGGCAAATTATACAGCACCCCTAGCGATCACAAGAAGAAGCAACATTTTGTATACAAACAATTTGCGCAGTCGCTTACGATAACTGTCACTTTAATCTCATAGCAGAGGTACTGATATCGAAAGCCTGTTACCTAATAAGTAAAACCATCTCAATAACATTTTAAAAATAAAACTAGAAATTTCCAAAATTTTAATGTCAAGCGCTCCATACAATTAATATGATATGACTTCGTAGAGAGGCTTTAGTTGAGCTACTTTAAGAGGTACTTTACTTTTGTTTTACTCATTAGGTAACGTACTTTCGATATCATTTTAAAGGTTTTTGATATCTCTTATATTTACGGAATAATCGCCTGGGAATACTTAGCGATTGCAACCTGTATATAAACCGTTAGTCATCATCCTTTCCAAAACAATTCCTAGCCAGTGACTGCTGGATGGAAGAACATTTTTGTATGGGTATTAGCTTCATTGATAAAACTGAAATATGCGACTAGAGACACGCTGTCACACAATAGCCGTTCCAGCCCTATATTAATAGTTCTTAGCGTTTCCTTGACGGCCTTAAATAAGGTGTAGGTAAGTGGCTGAAACGCTAAACGCGAAAAGTCAAGAAAAAACGAACTTCCAAAAAATTTTCTTATCACCCTATTTAAGTATTGCTCGATACTAGTTATTAACAAAAAAAAGTGTTATCAAAAAATGTTACTCCACATTAGTTGTTAAAGAATAAAAAATATCAAAAAATGTTGTTCCACACTAGTTATTAAAGCAAAAATGTTACGAAAATTTATTTTAAAAAAAATCAACAATAAATACCACAAAAAGTAACTTATTCTTTGCGTCCACATCCAATACCAGATCCGATAAGTAATCGACAATCTTAAACAAATTGTTTATCATGACTAATAATAAATTCCAGGTTGTGCTTACTTTACTCTTTTGGCTTTTTAGTCCTGGAATTAAATTAAAATTATACTAAGGGGCACTCATTCTAGGGATTGAGTTTGTTGAGTAAGTTAAAATTGTTTTGTCGCCCAACAGTATTCGCTCAGAAGTACTGCTCAGTTACGGCTTGGCTCAAAACAAATACAATCAGGCAGCGCGACGTGTCATTTATTACCTACCTTGTAGCTACATATATTATGTTATTTTGTTTATTACAATCGAATCGTGAAAGAGCAGAAGAGTAACGGTTTCAGTGAACAAATATCTTAAAACTACAAATAAAAGTAACAAATACGTACGGATAACATTCGTCTATCTTTTTCAGTTTGACGTTAGGCTGTGCAGGGTAATCAAAGAACTCTGGTAAGTACGATGGATACTTCAGATTGTAAGTATGATTTCCAATAAATTGTTTGAAATCGGTCGGCTTTGGGAAATGAGTCGCAAGACCTGTTAATAAATAGAAACTTAACAATATTTATTGTATTGTTCATTTACTAATTACACATCACTCTGAGTGTTCGATCTTTGTATCAATAATTATAACAAACTAGTGGAGTAATTACACAAAAAAAAATTGAATATCAATTCAACAAAAAAATTAATACAGTGAATAGAGGCGTCTCTAGCCGAGGTTGGTAGCTGTAAAGTTATCTAACTAGGTGTCGAAATACTTTCAAAGATTTCTCATAGACGGCGCTACGGCTAAAAAGTCGTTGAAAAACGAAATACAAAGATACGACAAGCACATAGAAAAATTCATGAGGTCCGCTGGTTCGTTCCGTGGCTTAGGAAGGATTTTTTTCTGAGTGTTCGATCTTTGTATCAATAATTATAACAAACTAGTGGAGTAATTTCACATAAAAAATAATTGAATATCAATTCAACAAAAAATTATTGCACATCACATTTAATACATTATAAGATAAGAACAATCACCATCCTCGATCTTCTAAGATATTAACTTTAAGAGTTATTTTGTACTTTTAAGACACTAAGCTACTAAGTACTTACAGCAAGAAGAACAAGGTAGATAATTTAATTCCATACTCCACCACACTGGGCCTGCACTTTGGGAGGTTATTATAAGCTTTTTAAAAAAACGTTACTTGTGGTGTCTTCTCCGCAAGTGCTGTGGCATGTTCCACCGCCCAAACTGTTTCTGCCTTAACGAATAAAGATTGGCGAGAACCAGTACAATTACAAACGAACATAGGGGACACGAGATATAATCTCCCGTGGACGGTGATGCACTTTTTTTATTATGACACCAAGTGACGAGATGAACAAATAGTGCGCCTGGCGATAAACGACATGACGGGCCTGTCCATAACAATTGCAATGCCCAGAGATCTGAGCGGCCTGGCTCTGCGGCCGTTACCCTTAGACCTAAGTTGACAAATGTGCCTATAGATAATTTTATCAGCACCCTTACCACTCACATTACTGCTTGGCGGCAGACATAGGTGAAGTGGCAGTACTTCCCTGAACCAACTCTTACACAAAATCTACAGCAACTAAATTACTATACTACTGCACTGGCGACCTTATAAATACTTCTTAAGTGTTGCAAATGAAGATAGCCTTCCTGATTTACCTTCAAGATTTAAGGATTGAGAGGATTGGTTCTTTCGGTAACACATTTGTCATCCGATTGTTTGTGCTTTTGCGAGATTAAAAAAGCCACAATGGAACCACGCGACATATTAAAGCACCACATAAAAAATACAACGTTTCTCACCGTCCTCATAACATATTTTACAGATATCCATTGCTATTTGGAAGGACACTTGTCTCACATCCGATAGTGGTGGGTAAATACGGCCGACATTCAAGTCTGATTCTTGAACGAAATTCGCACAAGACTGAAATTTAGAAAAATAATAGAGAACATTTTAAGCAGTTATTCAGCTACTTCGCAAAGAAAATGTTTATTATAAAGAGACAATTAAGCACAAGAAACGGTGATCTTGGAAAAGAACTTTTGCGGAACATGCAACTCTGTAGGTGAAAAGGACATTAAGTGGTTTTTTTTTTAATTTACATGATTTGATAATGCTAAAATAAAAGACATTAAGTCCAAACGTCGTTTGTCTTTTGACATATTTGACATTCAAATTTATTTTAATTAACAGTCTCATTCTGCTTGAAACGCTCTATAGTAAAAAAATACTTTTTGGTACTTAAGACTCTTTACCTCTCACCTACAGAACTTTACCTCGTCTATTTTGCTCTCGTATTTTACAAAACATCGACGACCAAAGGGAATAAAGCTATTTTACCCAAAATATATACATTCACTGAAGAGCCAATAAACGGTCAAATCTTCTTCATCATTTGAACTTACAACGAATAGCAACCAAAAGACGTCAATGGGTGAAATTGCGCGCAAGTGTTAAAACAAGAAAAACCATAAAAAAATTATTCACAGACGATAAAGTTCTTGATTATTTTGCAATGTTTTTACGGCTTTATTCGCGAAAAAATGAGGGAGTTTGGTTAACTTACACATACCACCATTCAAAGCAGTTTTTCCATTACTCGGCCGTTGCGTCGCATGGATTACTTTCAGGCATTATTTCAGTGTACTTATTTATATTCGCGCAAGCACCATCTACAATGATTTAGGTAATGCTTTGAAATGTTGCTATTCCCCATTATTTTGAGGGCGAAGGAAATAAAATAAGTCGCGCACCACATTATTACCGCTTTATTCCTTTTGGATCATCGATATGTTCAAGAGCATAAGTAAGTATCAATTTAATATATAAATTGCTTACCCTAGCAGCGGCCAAGAAAAGTTTGTCAGGTATAATGTAGGCAGCCGTTGCCATGACACCTAGTGCGACTCCAGGAAAAATGTATGCATTGTTACCCTGCCCCGTCTTGTAAGTTTTTCCATTGAACTTCACTGGTGGGAACGGTGAGCCCGAAGAAAAAATGCATTTGCCCTACAAGTAACCGTATATAATATAATACGCTGCTAATATTGCTAGTGAATTAGACTTTAATTTAGTAACAGGATTCTTTTTTTTTTCAAAATTTAAAATAGAATCTTACATTATTGACTCCTTTGCTACCTTTAGTTTTAATACTTTTTTTTTATTGTGCATGTAGTTTTGGAGAAAACACACACATACAATATTGATAAAGCGCCAAATATTTGCATATTGCTAGCTGAGACATTCAAGAAACCTCGCTCCACCACGAAATCAAACACTTTTTTATTATCTATTTTTTAAATATTTTCTTCAACATTTCTTAGTTGTTTTTATCTACTACTCACATCGCAAAGTCCGAATCTTCAAGTTGCAAAGTTATAACAAAAAAGAATTTAAAATATACAAACATTAGTATGGTCATAGGCATCTTGAGCTGTACACTCAGCTCTACTCGTGGGATTCGATAATGCAAAAATGATAGGTCGTTCGCAATTTTCAGCCATTATTTTCAATATAGCGGGTGTAAAACTTCCTCCGACTGTCGAACAACCTTTTAATAGGGAAAAATAGTCAATTATTATTTACTAGGTATCGAATGTGAACAAATCTTCTAAATAGAAAACCACCGTGTGACTCAGACATATTAACTAAAATAACGGATAACTCACAATCAATCGACAATAGGCAATCGGGGCTCTGCAGTGACGGAACACTCATAGGATTCGGATTCGACACACTATATTCGTTTATATAAAGTGTCCGTACTGGCGAGAGAAAAGCACTTCATTCCGCGGAAAGTACGTGAAGCTATCGAGATTGGTCGTCATTCGAATTTCTATCGTGATAATGGATGATCGGTACCCGCCCGGCTGGAAAACAGTGTTAGGTACTGCGTCAGTGGTTAGTGTAGACGAGATTTTAGAAAGCGACGTTGTAAGTGTATAGTGTGCAATCCTGCGTATGATTTTTATAAAAATTATGTAAACGAGGGCTTTGGCGCGCATAGTTTCCGTCGAGTCACCGCCGCGGAATCTCATGATTAAGGGCCACGAATTGGTTCGAAACATGTCGAGGAAAAATTCGACTTAAATACGTGAGTTATCCGTTATTATATTCATTCTGTTGTTTATAAGGTACCTATAATTTGTATCATGTTCAGCATTGTACGCAATGCATGTACCATTTTGCGTCAAACGCGCGTCCAAATCACGTGTCGGTCACACTCGTCGAAAATTGATGCAAAGGTGTACTCTACCATGAGCAAAATAAGTACTAACCGATCAGACAACTTGGTTTATACTTTTTAACACATTCCTCAAAATTCTTCGATGGTTCAACATCTTTCCCATATTGTTTGCTCAAAGGCGGCACGCCCCCATCGCGTTTGGTTGACAGCAACCCATCGATATCAAATAAATAAATTTTAGCTTCAGCATCTTTTTTTGATAGACCCTCTTCTTCCATTGCTAAAACAGATAGATTTGCAATGCCTGTTGCGGCCTGCAATGTTCGAAAAATTATTAAAATTAAACAATATTGTTAGAAGTCTGTTTTTCTTGTCTAGATAAAAAGAAATTAAACTATTTTTTCTGGATTTAAATCGCGTATATTTGTTTTTTCAAACAAACCGACGTTTCGGGCTCTTTACAGGTCCCATGGTCACGGTTGATTGAGGTGGTACAGGCTTCGATCAGTTATGTCTAATATTAATGCAAACCACTCTATTTTTTCACTATAGTTACAATAGTTATTAATTAAATGCCTTATTTTTAATTTTACAAAGAAAACATTACAATTTACGCTACATCAAGTTTTACAAATTATTTTATTGAATGAATTTTTATTAAGTTCAATTTATTATTAGTTATTAATAGAAATTAGAATAAACTAAAACATATTAATTAGTACTGCCATTGACTTACAAATAAATGGACGACGGGTCTAATACAAAAACCACATTGACTTACAAATAAATGGACGACGGGTCTAATACAAAAACCACGAAAAAAATGTCCCAAGTCAACCTATTCGAAATTTAAATTGTTATGTCATCGCAGTATCGCGCTGTCCGTAGAACAAATGAAGACTAAAGCGGAGTGTCGCGCTCTGTATACGATTTTAGCGCCTTACAAGTGCGGACACTTTTTAGCGCGGACCCGACGTCCATATAATTGTAAGTCAATGAGTACTGCAGTCTTATGTCTGTTTGGGATTTTTTATCAGAGGAAATATTGGACCCCAAACTGGTGGTACGGAGAAACCATCTTCCCTGTTGAAATTAGGATGTTTTTTAATTTGAATGGCCTCTCGGAACATCCTAGGTAGATAACGGACTTCTTTTGCAAGGACCTGGGGTTTGTCAAACTTCACTGAATTTGTAGGTTTATCTATGACATGCTCGCAGACTGCAGACTTGTTTACGCGACGGTGTTCGACATCAGCTATATGTTCTTTGACGCAGGTACAAATACTTCGCTTCGTTTGTCCAATATAAGAGATACCGCATTCACAGTCAACCTTGTAAACTCCTGCATCCTGTAAGGGGATATTACATTTCACGGGTCTCAGGAACTGAGAAATCTTCCTCAGGGGCTTCAAATAGGTCTTGATAGATACACGCTAGAGGACTTTTCCGATCTTGTCTGTATCACCTCTCATGTAAGGTAAAATGGCAGGTCTTCGCTCGACTGTTGGTGGTTTCACACGGGGCCTGCGACATTGGCATTAATATTAGACATAACTGGTTGATGACTGTACCACCTCAGTTAACCGTGACCATGGGAGCTGTAAAGGGCACGAAACGTCGGTTTGTTTGAAAAAACAAATATACGCGATTTAAATCCGGAAAAAATATTTTCATTTCCTATATGTAACAATCGCTAAAACCTAAGAACTCGATAGTTAAAAAGAATTAAACTTCAGAGTCGTCACTACCTCAGCTTGAATCCAATTTTTTCCCGTATTGAATCGGTTCTATTGCGCGGGTCGAGCGGAAGGGACACTGAATTTATTTTTTTACAAATAAAATTAAAGCCTTTAAAAGATTAAAAACATAACCTATTTCTGCCGCTGAATAGTAATGTCAGCATTACTGCATTCCGGTTTTGAAGGGCAAGGGTGCTGGTGAACTTACAGGTACATGGGACTTGTGCAACTTATGTCTCAGAGTGACGGGCGCAGTGGCAGTGCCCCTCAGATCTTTGCGATGTGAAGCTCTGAGTGGTTCTGCAAATGTTATGGACAGGCGTGTAGCTTACCATCAGTCGCACGACTTGGTCGTCCCGTCACTTGGTCTTATAAAAAAATTCAAATACAAAAATTTCTCGCAGAACTATACCTACTTTGATATACTCAAGTTTAAAAGAAATTGACAATTAGGAAATGAAACTATTTCTTCGGATCTAAAACGCATACATTTCCATGTATGTCCCATAGTCACGCCTGACTCAGTCGAGAAGGGCCCAAAACGTTGGTTTGTTTGAAAAAACAAATATACGCGATTTACCTTATTTGTTATGTACCTTAATTGTGTACTTACAGAACCTGCACCAAGAAACATAATTGTATTCTCGCTCATCTTCTTCTTTGTTACTCTTGTAGCAGCTAGCAAACCAGCAACAGCCACACTAGCTGTCCCTTGAATATCATCGTTGAAGGTACAAAACTTATCGCGATATCTTTCTAAGAGAGGTGTAGCATTTGCGTAGGAGAAGTCCTCAAACTAGAAGACAATCGTCGAAAGTTCAGATTGAAATTCGTATAAAATTCGATGTAAAGATTACATTTATTAATAACATTCACCTGTTATGTAACCGCTTTATAGGTATTTACGGCGCAAGTTTTAAATACCTTCTTCTGAGTTTGCATGATGTGATAGGAAACAGCGTTGATTGGACGACTGCGATCAACTCTTACGTTCCCCGCCTAAGGTAAAATTATGTGTGATCTAATGCGTCCCCGCGTCCCTCAAAGCATAGGAAGTTCAAGGACACTCCAGTCAAACTTGAATTAAAATTTTTTTTACAATTATTTTTTACAATCCCGGCTTGTGGATCCGAAGTCCCACGATCACATTAATTTCTACGAATTAAGCCCTATACATATATAATAGTGAAAGGTACAAAATGTTAATTCCCTACCTGCAAAAGAACGCGAGGACCATATCTTTCAGTGCACGCAAACATAAATTCATCAATGAAATCGTCGTATTCCTGTCCTCGGGCCCTTTCACGACGCAAACCAATATACATTGGATCTTCTATGAGTGCCTGCGAAAATAATCATACGTCACTGGGTTTCAATAATAATGGCCCAATCCAAATCCTTTCTTAACATATTACTGTGATGTATTCGGAAAATGCAAAATTTTATTGTGATGGGAATTCCGAGCTTTTCATTGGTTAGACTAATCACATGACAACATAGGGATGGTCGTCATGGATGGATTTGTCAACTTTACGCGGCAGACACATTCTATTTTGCGATAGGCCGCTATTCTAGAAAACCTTCGATTCACTAGCGTGCTTATAACATTTTCTTTCGGCTTATCTACACTATGTTATTAGACGTAACAATCAGCGGCCAAAGGGGCAAAATTGTTTTTCTATATACATTTTCCAAATCTATAAGGTGTTAGAAATACAGGATATGTTTTTGACTCAACAGCAAAGCACTTTACCTTACATTATTTTAAAATTCCGGTTGAAACAAGTTCTTGTTTACGCAAAACTGACCCAATTACGTGTACTCAAGGAAACAATGAACGGATCTACAAATTTTCTTAATTTGTCTTGGGTCAGGTGTATTGCATAGCACTTCTACGCCCGTGGATATTAATAATTCCATTTCAAGCTCAGAACCTATGTTAAGAACTAATTATCTCTTGAGTGTTTTCACTTAATTGGGAACTCACTTGTTCACACATCATTTAAGAAATGACAAAAATAGTCGTCTATAAACATAAACACCACTGTGTATTTAAGCTACAGTTTACGGTCCTTATTGAGTCATAATCAATCAAGAGAATTGATATGATCTGATCACTTATTCACAATGATGGACTTATGAGCTGTTTATTAAAATGGACCTTAATGTTTCATAACTCAAAGCCAAATCGGATCATACAGGTTACCATAGTACAAGATACTGGAAATATTTTGAGACCAGGGATTTGAAAATAATTTGAGACCAGCTAATAAATAATGTTAACACTTTGGCATTTTTTACCTTATTGTTAGTCCCTACATCCAAAGTAATAGGCAAACATTGATGTGGTTTAATGCTAGCCAGGGCCGTATATAGAGCAAGTTTCCCAACCGGTATACCCATGCCAAAAGCCCCTAGGTCACCCAACCCTAGGATTCTTTCCCCATCTGTGAAGCATATGGCTCTGACATCGGTTTCTGGCCTGGAATCAAAAAACTGTGGTGATAATGAAACAGCTGAATCTGAATGTAAGGAAAAATATTTGTAAAATGCTATTGATCCACTATTTTCCCAGAGGCATTTATCAAGTTTATTTTGACTTATTGAATTATAAGCAGTGAGACTAGGATTATGAGAAATAGGTCGTCTATTATCCAGGGATAGCCTTCATTGGACTATCATCAGGCACAAGTTGTAAAAAAGATCCGAAAATTATCAAACTTGTGATTCTATTAATAGTAACAAACAACTCCAGCAAATCATACTACTATTGTTTTGGCTACACCATAAAGTCGTGTAAAAAGTAACTTAGAATTCATTATGGTTTACTCATTTAATCGTCTTCAGATATTAACGTTGATAAGGTAATTCTATAAACTTACCAATTACCAATAACTTTCTTTATATGACCTTTATCATGAATAGAAATAAACAGGCCTCTAGGTCGTCTGTACGCAAGACCGAATTTCTGACAAGCTAAACCGACAGTGGGAGTATAAATAATTGGCATATACTTTTCTATATCCGTATTTAAAAGGCTGTAAAATAGCCTTTCATTTGTGTCCTGAAATACCAAAAATCGGTTTATTTCTAAAATACTATCTACATTTTCTTATATTACAACATAATCTGTTTTCATAGGGATAACAGGCTCCACTTCAGAAAATTACTAGGTACTTTAAAGAGGGAGCAGAGGAAAAATTCCTAATCTTCGATTTGATTTTAGAGGGGTATATCCACTTTAAAGTTAAAAATAAAATATTGTATGAGTAACTACACGGTATATTCAAGCATAGACTTTAATCAGAAACATAAAACAATAAAGTTTCCTCGATAGATAAAAATCACGAAATGACCTCTAATTTTCACATTTTTTCGATTTATCCTCGAAATGCTACAGGTTATTAGGACAAAAATTAGATAATTAATTATATTTATGCATGGTCGACAACTGTCACTAAGGATTTTTTTTAAATCCCTTTAGTTTTAGAGTTATTCCGCTAAAACGAATTTGGAACTTTTAATGCGCAAAATTCAACATCTCCTGTCGCATGTCACGCGAACTTCAGGCATATATTTGTTTCACAAATTTGGGCGGAGCCAACGTCAAAACTTTTTTGGAATGCTCCCTAACATTCTGGGAATTATAGCGACAACTGACTTTTTTTAATTTGCTAGTACTTAAATAACGCCTCAGTACCAGAGTAACCATAAGGGAAATGGAAAATGGACTGCTTTGCTGCGGTGTGATAAACAATTTATTTTTCACCTCACTAGGTCGGAAAGACTTTTTTGTCATTAGAAATCTAAGCGCAGGTGTTTGAGGGTCGTATTCCAGAACTCTACTCAATACTCAAGTCAGGACTTGAGTATTGCAGTGAGCACTGAAAATCATACTCAAGTCCTTGCCATTAGGGTCGTATTTCCTGTGCTTGAAATCATACTCATGTCTGCTCAAATCCTGACTTGAGCATTGAGTAGAGTTCTGGAATACGACCCTAAGTGTTTTGTCCACGGTAGCGTGGAAAAGATTTTTGAAATTCGAAATTTTTGACGATGGAGTGTGGTCATCGAGTATCTGGTTATATACTCGATGAATGTGGTGCACCTAACTTTTTCTTTCGATGAAAAAAATACATAATGACACGTTCAAATACGCAATTTGTCATACATTATTTATCTATGTAAAAAAGATCCGTTGGTATATTCCATTCTTAGTATTATTGACATTAAATTAACAACGATAACTAATTTTGTTTATTAAATTATTTTAATTCTTCGAAGAACTGAACTGATTTGTTATAGTTCAACTGTTTCTCTTTCGTCTACCATTTTCCTATAGCATATAGTGAGGTGAAAAGTTGTGTGTTTCGCTCAGTAGCAAAGTTATTTTGCGTCTCGTGGCTTGAAACACTCGCTGCGCTCAGGATTCTCTTTTTGCATCTTAGAATAATTCGCTTACTCAGGTTTCAATACAAGCACTCGCGTGTAAACAACAACTTTGCAGCCTTGCTTAACAAATAACTATTAAAAACGACTTACTGGACAATGCGGGGCGTCCACCTGTCCTCTACAACTTTCAATTTAATGCTCAAAATGTATTTCGTCTGTCTAATCCTGAGGCGTCACATAAACTCATATGATGACCTTGAATACTCACAGTGGGGACAGAAATAATAAAAATCATAACTGTATTGCATAACAAAAATTCCTATGCATACCATCAACTCTACGAGATAAAGGTATTTATTCAAAGCCTCAGCATATCTGCCTATAGCAACAGTGCATATCTCCACTTGTTGCTCCTGAGTATAGAAATGAGGAGCCAAAATTCCATGAAGGCCGAGAGCTTGTCTTTCTTGCAATGTGAATGCGAGACCCTAAAAAGGAATAATGTTTATTGTATCGCGCTCTAACAACGCACTAATCCATATATGCCCCACTAGTGGGGTGTTGGTGCGTTGTTACAGGTATTTTATAGCTAGTTGAGGGGTAGACTCATAATTTTTAAACCATTTACATGCCGAAACAATAGTTCTTTTGTACAATTCGGAATTCAAAGCGTGCTCAATACTTTGGCCAAAAAAAAATCAAATACTCGCGTACAATTCTACATAAGTTTTGTGAGTTATGACCCTCTCTATCGACCATTATGCACAAGAACCATGTCAGGCAGGTCCTGACCCCAGATCAGCCCGTTTACCCGAAGTCGATCGCAGTATCCTTTGACAATGTCCGGATAATTCTTAAACAGTATGGCCTGTTTTCTGCAATACTTATAGTGCCCTCCGGAATTCAAAGGGCGCTCAATACTTATGGCCAAGGCCAAATACTTTTGCCCAAGGCTGTATATTCTATGTGTAATTTGATTATGTACCTATAAAATAGACATTTACGAGTTTTTTTAATTTGTAAAAAATGTGTGATTTTAATTACCTTGTTAAGTCTTGGATCTCTAAGATGGTCAATGCCCCTTATCAAGCCAGGTGCTGTAGTTGACGAATCATATCTGCAATTTACTTCTAAAAGCACTTCCCGCGATTTCTCATTTAATTTCTTTAACAACTTCGCTCTAAAAACATTTGTGCAACACCTGCAATTACAAAACTGATATAATAATAAACCACTTTGCCAAAAAAATATTATTAGAACAAAACAATACTAACACCAAAGATTTTGCTGTACATGAATACATTTCAAAAATTATAATATACGTACAAAAACTATTTCCTTTTCATTACAGTAGTGAAAAGGAATATAAATTATAATAAACGGAATATAAATTCTTCATTAAATAAATAGCACTTAAAATCAAGTAAAAATCGGAATGACATCGCCATTACGCCATATCTCAATCAAATTTATTTAATTTATTATTATATTCCAAAAAGATTCACGTAAGGCCAATAGACAGATGCGAGTAGATTTTTTTTTAATATGTAAAACAGACTTCAAAATATCACCAGTAGGGCTTACACCTTAGAGGATGGAAAAAAATAAAAGGCTTGCACTAAGAACAATAACCTAAACGCATAGAGGGCTAGCACGACCGGACGAAACCAAAATACTGTCGTGACTCAAAAATACGATTTGAAAATAAAAAAAAAACAATGAAGCCACATGATACACATGTATATAGTAAATATACACATGTAAATTCTCGTTATAAATGGATAATATAATTAAGTATTATGTACGTAGATATTACCTATGTATAAATGAAAATAATCACATTACTTTCACATTCAGTTCTATTTTTAATTTTCAAATTGTGTATTTTGAATTCCATACGGCAGAATTTATTTATTTATTTAGTTTCATGTGGGAGATGTTAAGAAGCTGTTACAGATTAACCTGCGTAATAAAGAAAGGGCTCTATGGGCTTTTTTCTTCTGCTCCTGTCTGAAATCCCATTATTGTGAATTCATGGTTTAAGTAGTAACCCACTAGTCAATCGCCTTCTTTTTTTTATATTATGACGAGCTCGCGTTTGATGAAGATGGTACAGGGGATCTACTCCCGTCCTCCGTCAATGTCAAGTATGAAGCTTCATTCGCATCATACGTCTTTTAATTTGGTCGAGTATTAATTTTTTTTTATAAAATCAAGTGACAGAACGAACAAGCCGTGCGCCTGATGGTCTGATGGTAAGCTACACGCCCGTCCATAACAGTTGCAGTGTCACTCAGAGCTTTAAATCGCAAAGATCTGAGGGGCACTGCCACTGCGCCCGTCACCCTGAGACATAAGTTGACAAGTCCCATGTGCCTGTAATTTGACAGTAAATTTTTCGGACTGATGTCTGACGTAGAATGGGAGTAGACCCCCAGGTTCACGTAGAAGTTTTTTTTATGATACCAAGTGGCAGGACGAACAAGTCGTGGTCCTGGTAGTAAGCGACACGCCTGTCCATAACTGTTGCAGTGCCACTCAGCGCTTGAAATCACAAAGATCTGAGGGACATTGACACTGCTCTCGACACCCTGAGACATAGTTGACAAGTCCTACGTGCTTGTAATTTCACCAGCATCCGTACCCCTAGAAACTGGAACGCAATAATGCTCATATCATATACTAATTGGCGGCAAAAATAGGCATGGTGACGGTGCCAGTACCTACTTCTCTGAACGAACACTTTCACAAGGAGGTTTACTGCTACTAAACTGGATATTGTTTTTATTTCGCTTATTTATGAAGCTGGAGTATAGAAAAGGGAAATGAACAGATAAAGAAGCGATATTTCAGTTCGTGATGTATGGAAGAAACGAAAATCTTTTTTACCAATATTGAACATTTTGCAAAGATTTCCTATCTGTTACATAGATACTTGACGCCACATAGCGCCTCCCGTCGCGCCACAACCCGAAATTTCGCCAGACGCCACAGTCGGTAGCATCAGGAATTCTCAAGAATGCACGTAAGTTTTCCGGAAGACGCAAGTCTTGCATTTTGGCATCTATACAGTGCTTCTATTTTCTCAACGTCCCTCTCCAAACTTCGCGTTTCGGCTGTCGTCGGGTTTTATTCAGTTGCCCTCGTAAAGCACTCTGTGGTTGCCCTTTTTCCTGTCATACAAACGGACGCTTTCAGACGGCTTGGAAGTATAGAGTTGCTATTAAATTTTTTTATTTATAGCTATGTCAAATTAAGAAATGTGAACTGATTTGAAATAATTAATAACCGGTAAAATATAAACTTTTAGTTTATTGACATGGAGTAAATGTTATTAAAAATAGGGAAATAGTTTTACAGCTAGCTTTATAGTTCACACGGAAATTAAAACAAAACAACAATAAAGTACGTTGTTCAAAATTCAAATCATTATAGATTTTAAATCTAATAATTAATAGGCATGGAAATTAATATTCGTGTGCATTCGGAAATCCTATGATTGCCGAGGGACATTGAGAAAATAGAAGCACTGTACCCATTGACCTACTGTACCTTATTTAAATTAGTCTATTACTGAGAAACACAGCCGCACCTTATTGGTTACTGCCCAGTTACACGAGGCGAAAGTTTTCGCGCGGCCGCCGCGCGGTGGCCACCCAGTCACCACGCTTTCACGCATTAATGGCGAATCTGAGTTCTATTTACTAGGTAACAACATTTAAATTCCTCTGAATAATACAACCGCGCGGTTGCCACTCGGTCGCCGCGTGGACCAAAGACAAACCAGCCTCGCCCACGCGCCCGGGACGCTCTTTTATGTTAAAGCGTAAAAGCTAAAAGCATACTTTGCCATGACAGGTGCACGCGGTTGCTGTGCGGCGTGAGTAAATGCGACAAAGTCAAATAATCATTTATTCCATAGGTAAAATTTTTGCACTTGAAAACGTCATTTTTTAAGCTAGGTAATGCTTGTTCACTACGCTCTGACCTCCCTAAGAACGAGCACGAAACTCCAGGGATTGCTCTTTTCAAATAAACTTAAATGCTATGGAATCATAATTGTGTGGAATCTAGACTCTTGTTGACTTTACATACTTCTTTATCTAAAACATACTCTTCAATTTTGTAATATGACTTCAATTAAAATACTTTTAATGTAAGTTTTAAACTCAGGAAATAATAACCTTAATATATTCGCCGGAATCTTAGTGTAAAAACGTATACAGTTCCTCATAAAATATTGGTTTACCTTAGTTAAACGAAATCGTGGTACCATGAGTTTGGCCTTAGTTCTGAGGTTAATACTATGGATATCTTCTTTCGTAATGAAATTATGTATATTTTTATACGGGCATACAACATTTTTGAGAAAATGTACTGTGATGCCACAGTCATTTACTTTATTTGTTTACTTCTTTGTGTAGATACCAGCCTCCTTAAACTGTTCTCTGTGAGAAACCCGAGAACCTATTATTGGTATTGGTATTGGTGCAACAGGCTAGTTTCCGCAACTCGACGTCGAGGCGCCTATTTTGCGTGTGGTGGGTGCAGGGTCCTACTCGTGCCACCCAAGCTCCTCCAGGAATCTCAGCAGCCTCTTCGGTTTTCTGAAGACTTCGGGGAGCGATCTCGGCCTTCCAAGGTACTTTGCCCTGTAGTTGGCCACACCGGAGCACTCTAGTAGGATGTGTGCAGCCGTTTCCTCCCCCTCCATGCACGCTCTGCATAGAGGGCTGTCCGTGATACCTAAATTGAAAAGGTGTTTATTGTATGGACCATGACCCGTTAGAGCGGCAGATAGAGAGCGCAGCTCTTGTCTTTCAAGTTTGATTAATTTACGAGATAGACTGGCGTTGGGCGTTGGGAGTGCTTCCCTAGCCTGTCTACAAACCGTAAGAGTTGTCCATATGTTATTATGAGAAGATTTTGTACCTTTGAGTATAGTTGTTCTTGACCATTGGTAGGGGAGGGACACTATGGGTTCCGGCCCTACAGCATCCGTCTCCGACCCTTTTCTAGCTAGTTCGTCTGCTGCGTCGTTGCCACGTAAGCCGCTGCGTCCTTTAATCCACTGTAGAGTTACGTGGTTGTGTGTACATACCTCCATGAGTGCTTGATGGCATTCATATATAAGCCCTAAGTTAATGTCATAGCTGCTCAGCGCTTGTAGTACTGACATGCTGTCGGAGAGTATTCGAATGGAGTGATTCTTTACTCTTCTCGCTATTATTGCTTCTGCTGCCAACTTGATACCCATACATTCAGCCTGGAATATTGTGTTGTGGTCACCAAGCGGTGTTGATATTCTGATATTGAGGTCTTCTGAGAATACCCCAGTACCTGTTCCTGAGTTTGTTTTTGATTTGTCAGTGAATACGCGGAGCTCTCTGAGGTTTAGTCCTTCGTTGGGATCTTCAAACAATTGTATCCTGTAACCATTGACTTACAAACCCGAGAACCTAAACATAAGCCCTTAGAGGTAAGGCACTAAAGCCGCATTCATAATAGCAAGTTAATCAATCGGTTCTGATATCTGTGATTTGCGGATTCGTGATGTTTTCTCTATTTGCTACTCACCTGTAACTGTTTACCTGCGACTTTGACATTCTTGAAAATATTTAGTTTTTATTTTTAACACCTTACCAAGAGCTATTTGTAAAATACTAACAACTTCGCAGGACTATATTACTAAGATCATAAACAATAACTTTTGTTTCATTACTTTTAATAATTCATAAAATTTTACTTTCATACAAAAATAAATGTATAAGAAATGACACTATTTTTCCGGATTTAAATCGCGTATATTTGTTTATTCAAACAAACCAACGTTTCGAGCCCTTTACAGGTCCCATGGTCACGGTTGAACAAACAAATATACGCGATTTAAATCCGGAAAAATAGTTTCATTTCCTATATGTAACAATCACAAAAACCTAAGAACTCGACAATAAATGTATTTAAATAGATCGCTCCAAACCGTAACAGCTGTGTGCAGGACAGAAGTGGGAGTCGTCACGGAGGACGTTTGCGTTTGAACTTACCTTACTATCAAAACAGATCTAAAATTTTGTCAGATAGTACAACAAAAACCTAAAAGTTTAGTTTTTTTTAAATTTATTGGTAGTAATAAGTCATAATCTGACATAGCATACCGTTAATCGGTCATTCTCGGACTAACGCTCACTACCTAATTTCCTGGCAATTTTTATTATTTAAGTATTCGATTTTTGTATCGTGCAATTTTATTTAATATTCGAGTATTGTATCGAGAAATTTTATTTAATAATAACGTGATAATTAAATTTATATTGAATTGATATGCAATTATTTTTTGTGAAATTACTCCACTAGTTTTGTTTGAAAGATCGAACACTAAGCGTCGTATTCTAGAACATTACTCAATGCTCAAGTCAGGATTTGAGTATGGTTTAAAGCACTCGAAATCAAACTCAAGTCCCTGCCATTAGGGTCGTATTTCCAGTGCTTGTGTTTCCAGTGCAATCCTGACTTGAGCAGACTTGAGTATGATTTCAAGCACTGGAAATACGACGCTAATGGCAAGGACTTGAGTATGATTTTCAGTGCTCACTGCAATAGTCAAGTCCTGACTTGAGTATTGAGTAGAGTTCTGGAATACGACCCATAGCGTCGTATTCCAGAACTCTACTCAATGCTCAAGTCAGGATTTGAGTATGGTTTAAAGCACTCAAAATCATACTCAAGTCCCTGCCATTAGGGTCGTATTTCCAGTGCTTGTGTTTCCAGTGCAATCCTGACTTGAGCATTGAGTACAGTTCTAGAACAAGACCCTTAGAAAAAATTCCTTCGAACCGGCCGGATTCGAACCGACCGACGTCTTCGTAGAATATCACAAAAAAAATTAAACAAAGAAAAACTCACGTATCAAACTATTATTTTATTGTCATGCAACTTACAACTAATAATAATTAATCCATCATTCTTAAAATATATTTTTTAACTTACGTCACAGCTTGTATAATTGATTATTTTGATTAATCGGAAACAAGCAAATAAAGTACACGACACGACTAAAGGCCCATTTAGATGGAGAGAGTTTATCGTCTCGAAGATACGATTATCGAAAGAATATAAAATCTTTCCTCGTCTAAACGTTCGCGATTATCGACCGTCCACGTGAGCGATAATCGCCTCGCCTTTGAATATTGAACGTCTCCGTGTAAACAGAACTCGAAAGCAAAAATCGTATTTCGAGTTTCTGTGTCAGCCGTTACTAACACGAGTGCAGTGCGCGAGGGTGTTTTGATTATCACTGCTTTTCTAAGACAAGAATTAATGAAACGAGAACGAAATATTTGTATTTTTATACAGTGCAATGAACTTAATATTATCAACAGTTCCAAATTTGAATGATTTTTGCGTAATTTTGATTTGTCCTTAGTCAATACCGCAGTAATCACTGAACTCGAACGGCAATTCTCGCACTCAAAACGGTTCGAACCGATTTGTACGATAATCGTATGAACTTGAAAAAATGTCATACGAGATCGTGTTTAGACAAGTCGAAAACTCGTAAGCAAGAATCTCCTTACTACATATTTCTCTGTGTAAACAGTCGAGGAGGCGATTAAGTTGCTTGCGAATCTCGTATGATATAATCGTAGGCGAGATTTTAGTTCTTGCCTGAATGGAAACATTATGATACGATAATCTTATGGGGATTATTGCTTACGATAAACGCGTACGATTTTTCGTCACGAAACATGCGATAAACTCTCTCCATCTAAATGGGCCTTAATTCATCGCCTTAGCACGCGAGCTGTATCACATTTTAAATATCGCTCGAATGGACAGGCCTAAGGCTCAATTTACATTGCCGCGGAATTGAATGGAAGCGAAGTTTTGTAACCATACCATAATGACCGGTATGTCAATAGTATTATCATGGACCAATAACTTAAAGGAACTGTTACTCGCGATACAAGACAGCGTATGCAGGTATTTAGTACTTATTGATACACCAGATGTCGCGACGAGTACCAAATAGCTATTTTTGTAACTAATTCGTTTTATATTGACAAGCTGCAATATAACAAAGTTACTTTAATTTCTAATGATAACAAACAAATTAACTAGACGGCGCTTGCTGCACAGATTTTCATGGCTAGTTGCGGTTATTCTTTTGTTTAGGATTAGCATCTACCCATATTAGGAAGCGATCATTTATAAATTCGTTTATAACACATAATGGCATCTAATGATGCGCGTAGTTACCTTTCGAAGTTCAGAAAAAAATTTGTGTTCATGGTCAATATTGGAACATTCGTCTGAATGAAATGTAAGTAATATTTCATTCAGACGAATTAATTGGTTCCTCAGCCATTTACATTAAATGAACTACTTCCAGACTATTGATCAGCGCCATCTAGAACTGACGAAATTTGGACCTTTTTCGGAATTACGAACTGTAGTACTGAGATTAGCAGTTGTCTTGAGTTATTGGTCCATGGTAATACGTACAAACTAGATACGACTCAAAAAACAACGCATCTTCCCGGCTCATCTTTATCATGCAAAGGACGTAGCCTAAACACCTAAACTCCTACTACAGCTTCAAGGCGCAATCGCGAGAATTCGCGCGCTTTCTTACGCAACGAAGCGAAATTTACACTTCCGTTCCATTACGTTCCGCAGCGATGTATATTGAGCCTAAGAAACTTATTATATTTAAAATTAATACTAGTCTTTCAGTCGGTTCTAGTCGCAAGAAACTTGATTTAGTTGGTCCGCGCAACGCACTAATTCACGACTTTCTCTGGGTGCAATCAGATCTAAGCTTGGAGTTGATGATTCTGAATATTGCACAATAGTGGTGCCGGAATAAGCTAATTCCATCGTGGCCAGTGAAACAACTAAATCTGGTTTTTGATGACGACTAGAACCGATTAAGTCACACTTTCTGTTAGTACGTTGCATAATTGACGTAAAGTTCATTATCATTATAAAAATTCGGTTCGATTCAATTCCCTTCCGCTGCAATGTAAATTGAGCCTTATTATGACAGGTTACAAGGCTTACAGTTTTGTCGACATATGAATGAAGCAAATTTACGACTTCAAATAGAGTCAGAGTAAGTGTTAATCTGATGATTTTTTAACGGGCATAATCGGTCGCAATTTGTATTCCTTCTCAGGCTTCCACTTCCACGTTTTCATCATGGAAGACTCGTAGTAGCAGTTAAACATATACTCTCTCACGTGTTTTTCGAAGTCGGAAGGCGGTGGGTACAAAGCTTTCGACGAGTCCACTGTAAACAGGTTGTTACTATGTATATATACTTACTACATTATGTAACATGTTTACGCGTTCGCTCGTTTTATCCACTGAACTGATACACGTCGAAACATACTGATATTCATCCACACGCAAAATAGGCGCCTTGACGTCGAGTTGCGGACACCAACCCGTTACACCAAGTACCAAGTACTGATATTCATCACCTTATAAATGAAAAAAATTGCCAAAACTGATCAAACACGCTCACATTCCGCTCTAAATTATAGGACAGTCGATCAAGATCTCGGCAAGGTTGTTCCACAGCAGTTTGTCTGAATAATACATTTACCAAATCATGAGAAGACTACTAACAAAAAACACAAAAAATGTTTCGAACATCGTTTAATTAGTAACATCCATAATTATTGTACCTATTTAACAATTCGCCCAATCGTGCATTCAATCTTTTATGTCGACCATATGAATGCCAAAGAAAAAAATTGGTTAATTGACAAAAATACTGTAAAATAGAGGTAATTAATTATAATAACACATTACACTAACAGTTGACAAAAACGGGCATAAACGACGCTACAAACTATGGTAAATAAATTAAACATAAAACATGTTCAACACCAATTTTTTGTACAATAGTTAGTTCAAAACATACGTACGTCACAGCAACAAAAATCACTTCGTATCGACGGATACGTTACACATGTAAACTTAAAAAAAAAATTTCGTTTCGCTCAGCGAAATCAATTTGTCTCACTATTTGAATACTGAAATTCAAATTTCTCCTTGTCAAATAAACTAGGCATACAATCGAACTTTATCATCTAATCTATGAATATTTTAGTAATACTTAGCGTATAAAGTCAATACTATTAAACAGCTTTCAAGTATTGTGTTTGGAAGAGTAGTACAATAACCAAATTAGATAGACACCTACCAGCGACACATACAGGGTGTAACAGCAAGGTGTAGTCATATTTGAAGGTCGGATTCAGTTAATGGTATGAAACTATTTAGCAAAGTTGTTTTAGTACAAACTACGTTATTTATGGAAATTTCGCCATGAACAGTTTCGATCAGCTGATGTCATTTAACGAAAATAAATAGTCACATCACATCTCTATTGAGTATCATAATACAACCAAATTACGTAACTTGAAAAAATTGTGAAATTCAGGCATGTTATTGTAAATGATAAAGTACTTAATGCCATATTCTTATTACTATGTTATAATTTACTAAATTTATTATTATTTTATTCATGTAATATGCGTGTGAACATTTAATGAAAAATAAATATTATCGATTACTTTGCCAAAATACACTAGTTCAT